AGTTCGATAGTCAGTTACAGCGTGACCTTTCCCCCAAGCAAGAGAAGAGAAAACCGACTTTTGATGTCTTCTCCTGTAGAGTGGCTGCAGACTCGTTCAGATTACTGAACATCGTTTGCACAGGATAAATGGATTGTTTCTTCTTCTGAAGTAGCCCGAGGTACGAAAGAATCAAGGGATGACCAAGCACAAGGTGAAAAGAATACACTGAATGACCGACGCAACGAGATCATTGCCCTCATTGGCTACAGAGGGTTATTCCCAGGACGGCTGGACGGATGGCCATCCTGCTAGTCTATATGGCGACCATCAGGCTACCGTGGAGGCGTCCTATGCGATGGATGGCACGAGTAATTATCCCACGCGCCTTGAAGCTCTCCGTTAGACCCTCAACTCTGATCAATTCAAGCCCAGGCGCAAAGGAGTGTAGACGGCCAGACGTTGCCCGTGCCGAAGGGGGCTGCTGGCCAGCCCAAAGACGATTGACCAAACAAAGGAAGGATATTTTGCGGTGGTCAATGCCGTTGTCCTCTATCAGCATAATAAGCGAGGCGAGTCCTGCTACTGCTGTGGCAATCCCAACCACAAGGTGCCGGATTGCAAAGTTCGAGACAAGATCCCCAAGCCCGATTGGGCGATTAACAAGTTCCAAGGTATGAAGAAACAGTTCTTCCAACAGTACCATCAGTTTCGTGAAGCTTACACGGCTCAGGTTCCACAGACCGTGACCGCCGCCCAGCTTCCACAGCAACATTCTGCGATGAGCCCCGATGCTCAGTCGCACAGGAGTGAGTTCCGACCAAGGTTCAGTCCAATTCCACCAGGATCGAGTCCACCACAACTCCAAGCAAACCAAGCGCAGAACACAGAAAATCACAAGACAAGCTTAAAATAGTACGATTACAGCAAGCATGGATAGACAATTACAATGAGTTTAAAATATACAAAAAAAGAGTTAAAGTTACACGTAAGAAGTAAAAAAAAGTAGGGATAAAGTTAACAGTTAAGAAAAAAGCTAAAACACTTAGAAAAAGTTAAAAAGCTGTTTGACTCGATCGGTCGTATCTCACTCAATTTTCGGAGTTGAGAGCTTGCACTTGTCGTGGCATACGCGGCAATAGGTCCTCTTTCGATCCTTGTATGCGGCCGTAGCTGTATCTCTCTTTGTTCGGTCGTCGTGTTCGTTCGCGTCGATCGGCTTTTGCTCGTAGAGTGGGTACCCAAAACACGCGATCGGCGATTACTCCTTCAGTTTAGCTCCGATGACCTTGCTTCAAGCATCAATCTGAACCGGCTAGCTGTGCTCTCGACGCTGATGTGCTTGGTTTGCTCTGAATCGGTCGACAAGTCGATCGGCCGATGCTCCGAGAGCTTGGAATGAGTGCGCGAAAATGTGAGGCGAATTTTCTCTGTTAGCTCTGTTGCTTTGCCTTTATAGTGAGGCTGCAGCGCACCTCTGGTCAATACCTGACCAATTCCTCTCAGTTCTCTCTCGCTATTACAATACCTATTTCCATGGACAAACTCAATACAAACGCTTTTTCTTCACAGTGTTGGGTCTAATAACACTGCAGCTACTAGTAATATCAAGGTTAATTTGTTGATTTGGGCGAGCTGTGAAGAAAAAGTGATCTTTCTGGCTGGTCGCTTTGAAGTCTGGATCTGAGAATGCCAGTTTCCTTAAATTCCTACGGTGGTGCGGTCTTTTTCTTATCCGGGTCCGCTAAATATCTAGACCGGCCAACAGGAAGCGTCTGATAAACTCGCCGTCTTTTTGAAGATATGGTTGTGGCTGGAACGTGTTGTCATCCCTTTTCTTGTGCTGTGAGGGCGAGAGGAAGGATGCCACCTTTCGACAATACGTCTTGTTCATAGCACTGTAAAGTAAGCGACTGCACAGTTCACCATTCGTATATGTTAGCATGATGTCACTGAAAACATCTGTAGTTGTTCTTGAAAGATGGGAGTTCCTCTGCAAAGCAAACTTGGGCTCCATCCACCGGGTAAAGAGAAGAAGCAAATGGTGGGATAACATTCAGGATTTCCGCTGAATTCGATTGAAATCGCTTCTTGCAGCATGGACAAACCATGTTCATCACAATACACCAAGACACTTCCTCCAAACCAAAGATGCGAAACAGTGTCTTCTTCTTGGAAAAGTTGGTTCTTCCATTCTTCAGAATACTTGTGCAGTCGGTGTAAGGCACGGCACAGAAATACCAATGCGTGTCCAGTCAACATTAAACAGTTTGGTCCCTACAATCGAATGGTAATGGGGCTCTAAGTCACTACCCGAATCGGGAACTGTCATTGAATTGCATTCGAAGTACTGTATGTATAGTGTGTGATCCCTTGGACGAATAATCTTTTCTGTTACCAGGTTAGCCAATGCTATCATTGCTAGTGGCGGCCCTTTGGATTTGTGCATCTGCCGGAATGAGTCATCCTTCACAGCACTTCTGACAGCCTAGCGTGCGTGGGGTCACTGGGATCTCTTCCTCCTCTTCGGCAGCGAGTTTGCTACAGTCCATATCGGTATCCTTTTCGGTGTTCCTGGTAAGTTGTTGTGTTTGTTCCCTTTCCTGGTTCTTTTCTTTTTGTTGTCTGCGGGCAAAGAATTTCTGACCAGCTGCTTTCGTAGAGTGCCGCCAAACTTCCCTTTTCGCTTGCCTTTAGGGGTGCTTGGTAATGCTTCTTGAGTTTCTTAGCTTCCTTATTTGCTATGATAGTCTGTGCATGCAACTCTTGGATCGCCTCTTGTTTCTGTGTTCTTGACACACCAGGGATGGTGCTTTCGTTTGGGTATCCTGACTGGTATTCCTGCTTTGCGCTTGGCATATGCTACGCACATTTCATACTCCTTCAAAGCATCAAACGTAACTGTGCCATCAAGTGTCGACTGTGTTGGTTTCGTTCGCTTTGGGAAAGGATTGTTTGCAGCAAATTGATGGCCTCTTTTCTCAAGCGAATTGCGCTGCTGACTTTGTCTCCCCATTTCATCATTCTGAGCGACAGGATTGTTGCTCCTTTCATCATCCTTCTCTTGGGTGGCTGCGAGTGTCATCTTGAAGTGCTGCGATCTGAAGATAATGGGACATCGTGGAAGATAACAGGAGATAAGGAGCGGAAGGTACCATCATTGCCTCTTGTTTTCGATGGAATCCTTGTTTTTTTCTTTCTTTCGAAAAGAAATTCGACAGCTTGGTAGCACAGCAGCTCCACTTGTTAGTGTCATGTATGCGTCAGCAGTTACTAATTAAATTTCTATCATATCTGTGTCTTACCGATCTTCCCGGTACTCCTCCACCAATCATACTACTGCCTTCTTACTCAGAAAATCGCGCACCACTTCATTTTCGTCGTGCCCCTGCCAGCATGACTGCAATACGTTCAAGTGCCCGTCCAATCACTCAGGGCCTCATCAGGATCAGCTATTGATTCTGACCCCACATTACATAGTCCGCAGGACCGTTCGACGGTTTGGGCCCAGGCTTTAAAAACTGCCACCACTGACTCAAAAGGCTGGATCTAGATAAGGGCATGTTACGATTTAAGGGCATGTTTAAGGCATGTTTAAGCTTTAAGGGCATGTTTATTTAAGGGCATGCTGTTTAAGGGCACGTGTGATTATCCACTTCTACTACCGCTACCATGTTAAGGGCATGTTGAAGGCTTAAGGGCATGTTTCGAAGCCTTAAATGCATCATCTAAGAAGCGCATTTTAGCCACCCAATTTACCAGTGTGCTTGTGCGTGATGGTCTTGTGCAAGAGCCTCTACAGTCCGATGCAGGTGCCTACTATTAACTCAGCTTTGCGTCAAATGATCTTGATGTTGCCTATAGATTCGTGCGGTACATTGCGTCATAATAAGCAAGGCTACAACTAGTGTTTACGCATATGCTTAACGAAAGTGCATGGAGAACAGAACATTCTTTACTATTGAAAAAGATTCTTGTGGGTGCGCCTGCTTCAACATGCAAATGGGCACATTCTTTGTGCACCAAGCTATAAACAGTTTTCGCAATCGGCATTCATTTTCCTTATGCCCCTTGGACCTGACCGCAATCTGCGCTTTATCCAAGGAAAAAACTTTGGCCACCCCCCAAATCTTTTCCAGTTGCAAAAAATAAACACGCACGATGGTCAAATTCATGTGCCCGTACTGTTTAAAAACGTGCAAGACCAACTGGGGTTTGAAGCGGCAACAGGATAAAGTTTGCCGAATCCCGCATTCGATTCAGACACGGACTGACCCCGACTCCCACGACAACGACCGTGGGGATGATGACAATGGCTGTGGTGGAAAAAGGAGAGTAAGAGATGATGAGGAGACGAGCAGTGCAGAGGAAAATTGTGATGAGGAAAGACCTATGAAGAAGATGCACTTGGAGCAAGAATTAGAGGACATAGAATCAATCACTGAAAGAGAAGAAGAAGCACTCAAGCAAGGGGTGACTTATACCATGTGCGATGCACCACAGATGTATTGCCAGCTTCTTGGGACGGGACGTTGACAAAGGGCAATGAGGAACGTTTGGGCAAGTGGCAAGATAACACGAGCTCCTTCCATGTGAAGTGGATCGGTGAGATGGGGCGGCAGAAGCGGACTCCAGTTTATGTTGCAGTTTTCTTTGATCCATTTGCAGATCCGTCTTTGTCTGAGGAAGCTCAAAAATGCAGATAATGCGGCAATGGGGGCAAAATGCAATGAGCGCCAACAAGTAGAGAACATAAAGAGTTTTTCAAAGATTATGTGAGGATCATGTCAATCAAAACCTTTTAACCCTTAGCAAACAGGAGGGGGGGAGAAAGCAGCATTCAAGATCATGCACACATTGATCAAAAAGAAGGCCACTTAGGATACGTACGATGCTGTAATGGAATGGCACTTCAAGGAATTTGGAAAGCTGGCAGAACACCAATTACTTGGTGAGTGACCAAGAGTTTTTTCCAATTTTCGCGCAAAAATTTGATGAAGAAGCTCAAAAAGCGGTACAACATGGGCAAAAAGTATGCCCAACCGTTAGAGAAAGTCTTGCCCCATACCAAGTATAAGGTCAAAATATATCGACGACATGAACGAGATCTTGTCGAAAGCCTTCTGACTGATCCACGATTGAAGGATGAGGATTGGCTTTTCTTCGATAACGAGAACGTTGAACCAGATCCTTTTGCTCCACCCCCCAACGATTTGGAGCAAATTGGGGATCTCAATAAAGGATTAGCATATCGTGAGCAGTACAAGAAGCTGATCACAAAACCTGACAAGCAAATTTTGGTGCCCTTACCTCTTTACTTTGATGGGGCTGTAACAGAGCAGTTTGACAAGCTCCAAATTACCGCATTGAAAATATCCCTGGGCATCCTGAACCTTAGGGCCAGGGACAAAGAATATTCATGGAGGGCCCTCGTATTGGTGAGCAATTACACCAAAGAAGATTCAAGAGGACAAGAGTTTATCTCTCTCTTTTTTT